TTTACACATAATTCCATTGCGAGTTAACTTTATTCTGTTTTCCATAATGTCGTTAGAATTTCATATTTGACCTAAATATGACCTAATATCTCAATTGTTTGGGATCGAACACTACACAAGTCGGCGCTTCGTGAAGAGGCTTAATTTATCGCTTCTTTTTCTTCTTTCAAAAAGCAMTTTTCTTTTGAATAGTCTTTTAAAAAGATTGTGAGCTCATTTCAAGTCATTTAAAAGGGGGGAAAAAATAAAAAAACACTATTGTTGATGCCGACTAGGCTTAATTGAAATTGACATGAATTGTGTTTTGGGTGCTAAAATTGATTGCGATCTTAAAATGACTTCAGATGCTTATAGTTGTTTACGAAGGTGAAGCAATGGAAATATACTGTTCTCTAAAAGCTGTTGTGGGGGGAATTTGTGGCCCTGACCCAAAAAGTCGACAAAAATCGTGRAATATCACTCCTGTKCTTGCTTGTCGAAAGGAGATTTCTGGTCACGAGCGAAGCTTTCAGTTTTCTGGACACACAAATGAATVCGATCTGATCTTAAGCAGAGCAGGATTGTTTACGTGCCCGAAGGACATTGCAACTTGGACAATTTGTCCTCTCCATCGATCAAAGTTAGGTTTGGGCTGGACAAGGAGGTCCACTGAGAGATGTAGAGTTCCAGTTGGGATCTCAAAACACGGAGAGGGGAACAGGAAGTGGCCAAAAGGGGAAAGAGGAATTTCCAAAATGGAAGCACAGGTGATACTTAAACAAACTGGAATGTTCGTTCAAGTTGGGTCAGGTATGAACGAAACAATTTTGTAATTAGCAGTAACACAGTTTAAAATTRTACATTCTGGTTCTTTTTKKAGCTTTATGCGTGAACTGTAGGAAACGACTGAAAGAGTTACAAGATAATAAACAAGAAGAAACAGATGTTGCTTTACAACTAAGTCATGTGACACTGGTAAATGCCTGCGTAAATTTGAAGTTGGCAGACAAGAAAGAATGAATGAACAAAAGCAAGAGGGAGGGAGAAAGGGAAAAAGAAAGAAAANAAAGTCAACGAAGGAAGGAAGAAACTAATGATCAAGGAATATATGACTTTTAGAATGAGATGAACGGTGAATGAATGGCGAAAAGAAATCCTTATAAAATAGAATAGAAGCCGGTTGGACTGATGACAATTATATTGATTTAACTATGTTTCAGGATGATGTAGAGATCTCTTTTACGRCAAGTCCTGTCGAWTCTGAACGTGAAAATCAAGAGAGCAGAAGTACACCGTGTCCTGAAGAATACACTCAGAATATAAGTCTCTACCAGCCTAGTGAAGAATCCATGTACATGTCGTCCCCAATTAGTAATGCAGATAAGCCACCAAGAGAAACATTAAATGAGTACCTCAGGTCTAGAGATGTGAGTCCGATTAGAAGCACCTTACATACACCATGGGAAATAGCATCAGATCGCACCAAGAGATTCTATGTAAGAAAAGCGCAACAAATTGTACACACATGCCTTGAAGAYATTGCCCCGYGTGAATCAGTCAAGCTATTCAGTCACTTGCAGAAAAAGTTTGAAAGCAGTCCTGACATTGATATTCCATTATTGGAAGCTTTATCAGAGTGCTATGCAAATGCAGAAAACTGGAGTTCTCGTCGTCAAATACTATCTATAATGYCGGATAAAGTGTCTTTCAAAGARTTGTTACGATGGATACCAAGTTTGACAAAGTATCGTTATGACATAGCAAGACACCATACTWTATTACATGGGCGAGGTGCAGRACTGCCCCYTGTAAAGAATACGCGGATGTCTGTGAAAGAGGACAAARTTGACCATTTTCTGATATTCATTACAGGCACACACATTGTTCAGGATTTGCCTTTTGGTGAAAAAAGACTTAAACTTTCATCGGGTGATGTTATGAAAATACCGAATGTCATTAGATCGGAAATCCCAGAGCACATTGTCCGACAATATCAAGGCTACTGTAAAGATGTAGGATTTGTGCCCATGAGCCGAAGTACCTWACTAAGAGTGTTAGACGTTTGCTCAGCATCTACASGTAAATCCTTGCAAGGTCTGGATTATTTTTCTGCATCTGGAGCTGAAGCTTTTGACGAGCTTAAAAAGATGGTTAATAAACTTGTAGATGAACATGGAAAGAGCCTAAGTTGGGGAAAGGAAGTTAACGAGAAATTAAAACGTGCCAAGCGATACCTCAAAGGAGACTATAAGGTAATTTCCYATAAATGTTATATGTTTGCGTGTCTTCACCTGTTACCCTGTACAACCAAAAACCAACATGAGCATGCGCGCTCTATAAATYATGATATGCTATTGCTATGCATGAATCYTAGTATTACATACATAATATATCACATACAAAATTCTAATTATGAAGTCTAATGAATAATGTAAAAATCGATTRTTKTATATTATCTAAGTTTCTACTATCATTCATCTTATACAGGTTCATATTGCAAACAGCTCACCAGTCGCAGATCACTGTAGAGCATTTGCACTTAGCCATCCCAGTGATAAAGAATTTCASAGCAAATGCAATCATGAGCATAATATGCAGTGCGATAGATGCAATTTGTTTGCTGCTGCTATTCATGACATAGAAGCGAATCTTTTAAATGCTGACTGTTCAGATGATCAAAGGGAAGAAATGGAGTATATCATTGCAAATTGTAAGAGTYACATCGAGGCATGGAAAGCACATCTACTGAGGAATGTGAATCAGGATTCTGCAAGACAAGAAATTATMGAAAGTTTAGATGAAGAMTCCGTTTTGTTAGTGTCAGATTGGGCAATGAAATTTGTTCCCAAAAAATTCCGCGAAAGCCAAAGAGACTGGTTTGGGAAGAGGGGCATCTCTTGGCATCTTACCGTAGCCATAKGAAAGTGCTCGGGCAAAGTGAAGATGCTAACTTTCGTCCACATCTTTCAGAGTTGCAGCCAAGAAAGTCCTACTGTATTGGCCATTTTTGATGACGTACTCAAAAGTTTGAAAGCTGTCAAGCCAGATGTAAAAAAATTGTATTTAAAGCAAGACAACGCAGGATGCTATCACTCAGCGACAACCATGTTATTGATACAACAGATTGCATCAAAGCACGACATCACGCTTAAGCGCATTGATTTCTCAGACCCACAGGGTGGTAAGGGGTCATGTGATCGGAAGGCCGCGTTGATCAAGAATCACATGAAGTCATATCTTGATGCAGGCAATGACATAGAAACAGCCGAACAAATGAAGAGTGCAATCGAGTCTCATYGAGGTATTCTTGGAGTGRAAGTGACTCTTTGTGGTCCACAGCCCGTCACGAGCATAAAAGTGAAGTGSGATGGCGTCAGTCTTATCAACAATGTTGAATACGAAACCAAGGGGATCAAAGTGTGGCGAGCGTATAAGGTCGGATCAGGAAAGTTCTTGCCTTTAAGTAAGTTTGACCTTCCCAAAACGTTACCAGAGGTCAACGAAATAGCCACACATGGTAGTTCTTTTGTCCCAGTAAAGGCAAGAAATGTTAAGAAAGTTGCAGTTTGTGAGCTTGATATGACTGAGACAGTTGATAAAGATGACCATGACGACAAAAGCGGCGATGATGAAGAAGATGTTGTGGGTAGCATGTTATACTCTTGTCCAGAGGAGGGTTGTGTACGCTNTCGCATGTTTTGCAAAGACGACTGGTTATCATCTCGACAAATTTCAAGCTTTTTTTCACGTGTAGCTGCTAAGAAGAGACTAGATGTGGTCTCTGATGACGACGACGATTTGGACGAAGATGGTTCAGATGATCACCAACGAAGAGAGCAGTTGGAGGCAGACTTGAAAGATCTTGCAAGCGAAGTAATGGATGAGATAGGTCTTCAACATCCAATCATGTTTGAAAACTATGACCTTTGCGAACTTGCATCACAGTCAAAGCTGTCAAAATTTTCCATCGCCATGTTAAAAGAAATTTGCTCAAGTTTTCAACTGGACACATCCAACATTAAAGGAAAGGCCCGTAAGGAAGCCATATATTACGCTTTTAGGGGACATGGTAGCCACTTGTAGTTGTAAGCTTCTTTAATTTGAAGAAAATTCTTACTAAATGCATTTGTAGCTCACATAGCTTTGTCAGTACCAGCAGTACAGTGGCAGATCGAACTAGTCACGAAAACAWGTCGCGTTTTTCTTTTTACGTCAACTAGTTTTTATATCTGCGGTTAGTCTGTTTCGTTATTTGAAAGTTATGGCTGTTATTCCTTAAAACTAATGATAGCATGCATGGCTTCTTGCTATAAGCCAAGTGTAGTACTGACCATGAGTAGTACGAGTATTTATTTGATCGATAGATTTTATTTTTCGTTTTAGAAATACACTTTTAACGCTCTATTGCCGGATTTCAAACCGAGTGGGGACTGGGCAAAATCCCCTAATTGGATAATCATGGCATAAGACTTACATAGAAAGAAAGCCCTTGTTGAGAAATGCAAAATTCCAAAATCTGGTGTCAATCAGTTCAATAGTGAACGAGTTACGGCCTTTCAAATATTCTAAAATTTCCAAAGAAATGTGTGGGAAGCCGTGAATGTGTCCGGATTTTGACCATTTTCCGGACACATTCACGGCTTTCCATACATTTCTTTGGAAATGCTAGAATATTTGAAAGGCCGTAACTCGCTCACTATTGGACTGATTTACATCAAATTTTGGAATTTTGCATTTCTCAATAAGGGCTTTCTTTCTATGTAAGTCTTATGTCACGATTACACAATTAGGGGATTTTGCCCAGTCCCTCACGGTTTGAAATCCGGCAATAGTTTATACTCCAATTATCAAAAGAAACATTGAGATARCATTGAGATAATAGGAATCAACCGACGATAATTAGCAGCGGAACATATGAAATGACCGTTACTATAACAAYGGGTTAAAAACAGGCTGAACCCAGCCTGACGAATTTTGCAATTAACATATTTTTGACGGACTATGAACTGATTAATTCAAAAATATTTAAAAGAACGTTTCATATCATTTGAGTTTGAAGCTAGATTTTAGAAAACAAAAAAACAAAAATTACTGAATAATTATCAATTTCAATTTAGCCTAGTCCAGAAACATTCCCCCCCCTCCCCCCGTTTCGAAGCTCGCAACCCTCTTAAAAGGTCATTCGAAAGAAAAACTCATTTAAAAATAAATTAATATATACCAAGTCTTTTGCATAATCAGCGACAAGCGCCGACTTGAAGTATACGTCCACAAAACTGAGATTCAGTGTCATATTTAGATCAAATATGAAATTCTAACGACGTTGTGGAAAACAGAATAAAGTTAACTCGCAATGGAATTATGTGTAAAAGTAGTTTTTAGAATGAAGGAACTATAATTATTGTTTATGTTAAATACTTGTTGACATACGAGACGCTAATTGATTAGAGCCACACACAGACTCGTCTGAAAATAGTCCTATTTTCTCAATGTTTAGA